GGTTTCGGGTTTCGGGTCTCAGGCTTAGGGTTTAAGGCTTAGGGTTTAAGGTGTGCTTGCCAGGGCTGTTGGCTTCCTTTTGCAGGGTTCAGATTCATGGACAGCCTTCCTTTTCTTGCTGGTTTGAAAAATTTCGGTGCGGGCCCACTGTCGTGATTTGGGATAGTTTTGGGCATGCAAACTCCACCTCAGGCCTAAAACCCAAAGACTCTAACCCCCTAAATACTAAACCCTTAGTTACTTGCCCAATCGCATAACTCTCACCCTAAGCCCACAAGTTTGTGGGTCCCAAACACATGTAAGATGCAACGGGGTTCCCTATAAAGTACCCTTTCGTCTCCCTTGGCTACTATCAGTAGCACAGGGTCCCAAATTAGGGGATCATCTACTTTCTCGATCTGTCCTGGGGTCTGGGCATTGCCCCCCCAATAAAAACTCTGAAAGTACTTTTGTTATTATTACGGTGTATTTTGATCTCTACTGCCACTTTTGAGGGGTAGTGCTCTTGCTCCTGCTCTGGCTCTTGCTCCCGCGCTGGGTTTTGCTCCTGCTTCTGCTGCGTCTCTTGCGCCTGCTCCTGCTCTTGCTGTTGCTCCGCTCCTGATCTAGCTCTTACTCCCGCTCTTGCTTCTGCTTTGCTCTCGCTCCTGCTGTTGCTGATGCTCCCGCTTTTGCTTTCGCTCCTGCTCTTGCTCTTACCGTGCTCTGGGGTATTTGAGAGCCTTGAAACCCTACAACCTATTTCAGAATAGGGCTTGAAAGGGCAAGGATGATGTCGGGAGGATTCGCCCCAATGTGTTTTTACTAGGGAAATAACAGGGGGGAAGCGATCATTTGGGAGCTGAGTGTCTTAAGGGCTCAGCTTCGGGGCTCTTCAGGGCTTGATACTGGGACCTCCCAGGGTTCATTGTAAGGGTGCCTTTCAAGGCTCCATAAGTGTTCTATACTAGGGTTGGATGTATTTTACAGAGTTGTGGCGTAGGTTACACTCGACCTAAGAACAAAGAACCGCGAGGACTACTGTCTTGCAAGGCACATCAGCTTCGGCCGAAGTGACTGAAAACAACTTAAGATCGTGTTTAGCTTGCACTTCTCGCATCACACGCGCAGTCTCTTGGGCCAATTAGGTTTTTTGGTTGCTGGGTTTCTGTGTTTGGGATTTGGGCTGGTGTCTGGGAGTCTCGGGTTCAGCCTAGTCAGGCGCTTAGGATGCAGGCAAGCGGCAAGTACAGCGCGTCGACGCCTGTCTCTGCCGCCTTGTTGTCAACCTGAAGAGCTGTCTTACTGTCGCCCTGCCGGAAGAAGTGGTGCTTTGCTTTTTTTGCATCTTCAGACGCTGGGCTCTGTGGTCTGTTCTGCCTAGATCCCATCACAAGCCTTTCGCGACAGATCCGGGGCTCATCTCAGGGGCCAGCATCGTACATCGAGGGCATCAGATGTTGCACCTGCTCTCTGCATGGTCCCACAGTAAAACTCTCCAAAGCTTCCCTGAACCAAAAATGTGCCAGCTTCACCATCGTTGGCATGGCGGAAGCCGGCAAACGGGACACAAGGGCTCCAACGAGTTGCTGAGAAGGGGGCACCTCGGCAAAAGTCGCGAACTTCCCAGCTGGCAAGTCGTAATCTATGGGTTGCTGGGTCCCAGATATCAGTGGCCCTGCTGAAGGTATGCCGTGCAGTCGGTTCAAGTACATGCCCCACCTCCGCGCGACTTGGTCTCTGGCAGGATCCCCACGCAATTCGATGGTCTCGGTGACAAGGCCTGCAACTGCAAACCCCACCTCCCAAACTGCCCAAACTGCTCAGTGGCGAGGCTGCCTGGCTGTTCCTCGTCAAAGATTGCGGAGACGTCCTTGCAATTGCAGCCGCCGTCCCATGAATATGGAAGGGTTCACTCACGGCGAAAATCTGGGCCGGAATATCGTATATTGGTAAGAAAGGCTCCGAAGCCTGGAGTTCAAGAAGTCTCGGGGCCCTTGGAGGAATTTTGATCATAATAGACAAAATAATGTCAGTTCCCTTCAACTCTGTATTGAGTCTTCTGGACCCGCTACCCCCAGCCAAGTGCCCACCTCCGGGAGCTTCAGATACTCCTCCGCCACGCCTGGCACGGGATTAGTGTTGAAGGCCCCGGCGAAAGAATGACCCCTCAAAGGGCAAGCCTTCATCTCTCGACCCCCATCCTTAGCAGAACTCGTTATGCTCTACTTACCCGACCCCAAAATCTCCGGCCTATTCGAACACCTTGCATAAAGGGACATCTTGCCAGGAGTTGCTGCGCCGCATCCAGGCTAGCAGCTGCCACTGCCTTGCCAGCTCGAACTCACTCACTTCGATCGAAGACCTTGCTACCACTGCTGCTACTGCTTGCTGCTGCTGCTTCTGCTACGGCTACTGCTAATGCAGTTGCTTGTGCTGGTGCTAGTGCTGGCGCTGCTACTGGGACTAGCACTAGCACTAGCACTTGCACCACTTGCACCACTTGCACTAGCGCCAGCACTAGTAGTAGTAGTAGTAGTAGTAGTAGTAGTAGTAGCAGTAGCAGTAGTAGTAGTAGTAGTAGTAGTAGTAGTAGTTGTAGTTGTAGTTGTTGTTGTTGTTGCTGTTAGTGTTAGTGTTAATGTTCGTGTTAGTGTTAGTGTTCGCGTTCGTGTTAGTGTTAGTGTCAGTGTTAGTAGTAGTAGTAGTAGTAGTAGTAGTAGCAGTAGTAGTAGTAAACAACAGGACGATTGACAACAGGAGGAGAGCACGAGCATCAGCAGCAACAACAAGACTGCGGGCGCGTTTGTCGCCGCGAAGGGTGTGTCGTTTTGTTTCTGGCTCCAAAGAGCTGCAGACCTCGATTTTTGTGTGGTATTCGTGAATCAGACATGTTCTTGCTGTTTGGATTTTCCAGGTTTTTTGTTCCTGTGTTTTGAGGCTGTTTTCGCGGATTTGTCGCAAAAACCGTCGTTTTCATTGTTTTTATTGGCTGATGTTTGGGTTGGCGTTTAGAGCTTTTGCTTTGTGCACGTGCAAAAACATCGTAAAGCCGCGTTATTTCTTATTGCTGCGGGTCCGTGTCATATAGCACATAACAACAACAGCAGGATGCAGCAACATTCTCATTGTGGCTGGTATCACCAATAGTTATTGTCATCGTCATCCCCAGGCTTCTCCTCATCACCATCAGCATCATCATCATCAACAACATGAACATCATCATGTTCCTCAGTAAGATCATCAACATCATCAGTTTCCGGACCAACATCTGTCTCATGAGAATCATCCTAAGGAGCAGCATTCAGATGTTTATGATCACCATCATCATCATCATGAGCTTGTTAGCCTACTTAGAACCCTAGAGAGACAGAGTGCAGAGCAAGAGGTACTGTTTGCACAGCTCGGAGCGACGTGGTAAGCACAAACGTGACAACATCATGCAGTGCGACATGATAACTTCAACAAAAAGTCACAAAACAAACGCGGCCACCGCGAAGACGTATCCGAAATGACACGGATCAAGTCATTGCCATGGATGCCCCGCGAAAGCACAAGAAAGTAAGAAACACATAAACGAATATCAAAAGCCGCATCGCCATGGACGATAACATCCCCCACCCCCATCCCCCCTCCCCACACCTCGAGTTCTGGCACATTGCAGTTCCGAAATCGACACACCCTTCGCAGCGGCACACGCGCCATGGGCCAACAACAACACAACCACCATAAGCAGTAATGAACGACAAAAACGACGACGACGACCTCCCCTGCCACTACAACCACCACTGTCAGCACCACTGAACCGCCACACCGCTGAGTCTGAGACTCATGATACTCATGATGGCAATCCTATTTGTAAGCACGGCAACTGGTGGATGATGATGATGACGATGATGATGATGCTGATGGTGATGTTAAACATGACGATCATGGTGACGATGAAATGATCACACTGATGACGGCTGTCACCGACTTACATCTTCACTGAAGCAGTATTTTATTGACAATATCAGCAGTAGATACGGCTATCAGACGTTATGACCTTTTGTGAGCTTTGCCCGAAGCTGTAAGACTTCAAGGTGCATCGCATACTCTTTCAGATTCATGTTTCGGGGGAGGGGCAATTGCCCCTGTCACTCTGTCACGGCCCGTTACAGCGTTTTCGGCTCATCGTATTTGTTAGCATTCATCTTCCCCAGCCCTAAACCCTAAACCCTAAACATGTTTATGACGGCAGTGGTGGTGAGGAAGGTTCCACTATCTTCGTGGCTATTCTAACTATTGTCAGTCTGCTGATTCCTGTAACGCAAGTACGCTAAAGTGATATCGTTGAAGGATGCGTCAAGACATTCCGCCACGGGAATTTTTCGGAGGGGCTACGGAAGAGCTTTGTGCATGGCTGAATGGCGAGTTGAAGCATTTTAGCAGCACAAGACTCTTTGAATACAGAGCATCCTTGTCTTTCTCGAGATCCTTTTTCCTCAGCAACTTGGTATGAAAGTGAGGCTTCATCCAGTTTCTCATAAAACTGCAAGACGACGGAGACGCTCGACAAGTCTAAAGCTCTCTCATGTCCTAGCCAAACTAAACCATGCCTTGTCCCTATCAACCCTCCAAAAACACGTCACTCAGCTAAGCCTCAACTCCTAGACCCTAAATGTGGTTTTGGGCTTAACAGCTTTGCCTTGGAGCCGTCTCCCATGCGTGGCAGAAGCAGTGCCAAGCACCTCACCGGCGGCGATAATGCTAGTTGGCACTGGGAATGGCCAAATCCGCAAGTCAAGGGCTTGAACTAAACCCCCTAACCTGCGGCCCAAATATTTAAATATGTCGAAGAGGCAGGCTTAATCTAATCACTCGAGCGCCAGTGGCAAATATCTTTCCAAGAGTCGCGCTCGGACCAATCGCCCAAATCAGAGGGGCCTGCCAAGATGTAACACGCTTTGCATATAGTAATGACGGAAAGAGGAAGACGACGACAACTAGCATTGCAACTGCGACAGCTGCTGCTGCTGCTGCTGCTGCTGCTGCTGCTGCTGCTGCTGCTGCGACTATGACTGTGAGGAACAGTCACGAATAGTGAATACCTGATGAAACTGGGCAACAATAACAGATGTCATATTTCTGCCTGTCGCCCCGTGCTCGTCTTCCTCACCAGGCAGTGCGACAAGAGGTGCCACTTTGCAAAGCTCACCTGCCACGTGCGTGAGAAAATCTTGCTCCGATCCTCCCCCAGAAGCTTGTCAGACTTGTCATATGCCCTTATTATCGTCCCTATATCATGATGCTCTAGTGTACCTGAAAACCCTGTCTGATGAAATCCTAAATTCCGAGTCCAAATTCCAGCCAGAGACGCCGATGATCTGCATGCAGGTCCAACCTGAACGAAAGTTTCGCTCTGCGTAGCAGGGATGGCCTTCACACTTAGAAACAGGGTCTACAAGGGTAGGATCCATTTTTGATTATGCAGTCCCAGCACTGCTGTCACTGCATTCTGCCATGTCTGCTCAGCTGCACATCCAACAACCACAGTTTTCGGCAAGTGCACGTTGCACAAACCAACGCGAACCCCACAGGAACCATCGGAACCTTGTCACGACTCAGACTCAAACCCCGAAACCCAAAGCGGTCAAAACATGTCTTCAAAGGTTTGCGAGGGAGGACTGATACACGACTGGGCTCGACGGCTCCAAAGAGCCACGCAATCATGATCCGAAGCAGCCATTCCTCTCTAGACTCTAGACCCTAATATAGGGGCCTCAATAGTTACCTATACTATTTTGGGGGTTCCTTGTTATAACTATAGTAGAATGGGCCCCAAAACCCTATTTTAATCATTAAGGCCCCTATATTAAACCCCAACCCCTGAACCCCACAGACCTTTGCCCCCAACCTCTCAGGTGCCCGGAGGCGAAGCTATGGCCCTTGCGTACCGACTCCACGTGGCTCCGGGCACCAGCAGCATGGACAGCCTGAAACGGGAAGACACCCTCTTCGGGATATAGCATATATAGTATATATAGTACATACTATATAGTATATCTAGTATATATATATATAGAGTATATATAGTTTACATAGTATATATAGTATATATAAATTTTGAAGTCTGGGATTGTGATCATTGATTCACAGTGGTTCTTCATCCTCATGGGTCCTTACGTCGGAATGTCCCATATGATCTTCTGGCACCCCACTAAGAGCTGCGTTGTAGCATGGGGTGCACCCTCTATTCCCTCCGACATGTTCCACCAGTACGCCGAAGCTGGCCTGCACCAGATACCCTACACATCCCCACGCCCCGGGACCCAACATCGTAAACCGTTCAAGCAGTACAGCGCTCTAAAAACCCTCAAACCCCTCAGCCCTAAAACCCCGAAACCCTAAAAGCCCTAAACCCCCAAAGCCCAAAACCCCTAAACCCCTAAAGCCCTAGACCCCGATAAGCCCTTGAAGCCCACATGCATGAGCCCTTGAACCGCTGAAAGGCCTAAACCCCAAAGCCATTCAAGCGCACAGCCCTTAACAAGCCCATTAGTACCCTCATACTACCCGAATAGGACCCTCATAGTGCAGTCGTAGTACCCCTGTAGTACCCTTGAAGCCCTAAACCCTAGACCCTTACAGCCCTAAACCCCTAATAAAAGCCCAAAGCCCCCCAAAGCCCTAAAAACCACCTAAACCCCAAAATGCCCCGAACCCCCGAAAAACCCTTAAGAAGCCCTTGAAGCCCTTGAAGCCCTTGACCCTAAACCCTAGAACCTAAAAGC